GGTTAAAATCCTTTTGTGTCTGCCTCACTATGTCTTCCCAACTGAACAATGGTGAGAGGAAAATGATAATTAAGGCATGGCAGGAACATCCATGCTCTGGCTTCCATCTTCAAATTCATAGAAAATGTTTCCCACAGGAATCGAACCTGTACCCTATACGGAACCGTCGTATAGCCTGACGTACCTTAACCGATTGGGCCACAGAGAATCATTCGGCTACCGCGGTGGATTTTACTGTTTTTAAATCGGTTATGGCACGTCAGGCTATATGATGGTTCCGTATAGGATACAGGTTCGATTCCTGTCAGAGGACTCATATTTTCTATGGAAATTTCTCGGGCATTCAGGCCGGTAAATGTTGTTAATACTGTTTATTATAAACTGAGCATTTACTTAAGTATTTGTATCCATAAAAAAAGAATGTATAAACATAAAAATGTCTTATATATATATATATATATATATATATATATATATATATATATATATATTATTCATTCTAGTTTTTGATGTTTGTTTTTTTTTATTTTAGATGCATAAATATTGCCCGTGGATATTATAAAAGATTTAATATCAAAAGAGATCAAAGATGTTGCCAAAAATAGTGAATCGAAGAAACACAACATTGGAAATTGCGAACAAGTTGAATTCAACTACCAGACGAAGAGAAAAAGTCGAAATAATTGGAAAAAGAAGAAAAAACAAACTGCGTTTAAGGATGTTACACAAAGATATCTGGGAAAAGTCAAGAAGGATAATGAAAGTTGAATTGATCAGAAAGCAAATATCTGAAGAAGCTGGTGTTATAAATGTTAAAAAAGAAAATATGAAGAGCATTAAGGGCATTGGTTAAAAGACTTATGTAAACATCACAAAGACTAACAAGTAAGTTGTGCAGAGAAGTACATGAAAACTGGTTTCTCTTTTAATGATGAATACAGAGATACATTGGATGGACTTGATGGCTAGGCAAGAGGTTGGGTCCTTCATAAAAATATCCAGCCAAAACAATTTAAACTATATCACAGTAGTAGAATAATGATTTGGGTTTGTATTGTACACAGTATAATTATAGGTAATGTTATGACATTAGCATCATATCATGTGTGGCTATATATATGGCTCGGCTGAGTGACGATCACAGGCGTTTTTCTGTAATGGGCGAAGTTGGTTGTATCGCAACATTAATTTCAACAGTATTCTTGAGGTTGGAACTGCCTCTGCTTCAAGCTGAAAGTCAAATTAACTAATTTTTGCATGTCTTTTTTGTGTAGCGTTAAATAAGCCCAACGCATATGACCTCTATTAACTGCTTTTATTAGTACGGGAATTTTACCGACTACTTGTCAGTGAAGTAAGTGAGAGAAACTGTTACAATCCTTTTTAATATCTAGTAGTTATGGGTCGCAGGTGAGAGAAAAAATTCTAACCGAGAAATGTTGTAGGGTGAAAGTCTTTTCTCACAAGGAAAGCACAATGTCTTCTCTTGTTTATTACTGTCCAGCACGCCAAAGAAAACGTAATAAATAAAATGTGTCCTGCATTCTTTTAATAAGCTCAAACACGGGTATCCCCTAAAAATAACATTTGAAGTAAGAAAAGATTCAAATTAGAAAATTAGAAAAGTAAAAAACAGTTACAATATTAAAAAAGTACGATTGGTCGGGTAAACAAACTGTTATAATTTAATTTTTTTAATATGTTCTCTATAAATGTGTTAATAAATATAGTATTTAACTTATATTAAATCCCTAAACTATTTGTAAAAAAATTAAATATTTAAATTGATAGCAAGCATCATATTAATTTCTTCGAATTACTATCGAGCATTAAAATCTATTCTTTACATAAATTGCTAAAACCCAATTACAGCCTCTTTCTCTTTACTTCCCTCTCCCTCTTCTTTCTTTTTCCTCTTTCTTTTCTCCCTTCTCCCCTCCGATTTCAATATATCACTTCCGTTAAGTTAACCGTCTAAATAGGTCAAGGTCTGGTCATTCCTCCTCCCCCAATACTAAGTATGATTGAGAGAGATATGAAATTAATCCCTCCCTATACGCTACCATGTCTCTTTAACTACTCCTTTTACAGTCACTGTTAAATTACAAAAACTTACACTACCCATCAATTTTCATTTCATTTTTCGTTTCATTTCATTTTTGGAAGTGCTATCTGATGATCCGGCGTCCTTTAAAAGGACTCTGGTGAAATAAATTATTATAATGGTACCTTAAAATGGTCTGTTTTTCTTTAAAATATAAGCTCTGGATTTACATTGAGCTCTCAGGATTTCATCCTCCTTGGGATTACCCATACGAATTACCAAGTTCTTCATAATATATATAATATTAGTGGTAAATATACACATACATATGCAATCATATATCTAAAATATATATAAATATATATACATACATACATACACATACATATATATTTGTATAAAAATAAATCCAAGAGGATAGAATCCAGGTAGAACTCAATGTCCAGGACAGAGTAAGGATATAATAAAAAGGCTTAAACACTAATATTCCATGGTCATAATTTATTCTATTGGAATCGTAAATACGATCCAATTCATCAGACGTAGAAATTCAAAATTTTATTTTATATATATATATATATATATCCGTGCAAGTACTCGCACATATATAGATACACATATAGACACACACACACACACACACACACACACACACACACACACACACACACACACACACACACACATATATATATATGTGTGTGTGTGTGTGTGTAGCTCTGTGTTGGAATACATTTTTATATATGCGTATTTATGTAATTAATTTAATCTTTTATTTATTTTAATTTTATTTCTATTTAAATTCATTTCTTCATATATTTTATTAGTTTATTAGTTTATTATTGTATTTTATTTTATTATATTTTGTACTCTATTTTATGCAGAGTTTATGTCGAAATTGCATTGATCTTTTTTTTTTCGTATAATATTCAAACTCGATTAGAAAAAAAAATGAGTGAACAGTCGATGTATTTTTGGACCAAGTTCAACTGCTTCTAAAGGTGACTGCATTGAATCACGAAAATTCTGAAATGACGACATGAAGTTATAAATAAAATGTATGGAGAACAAAGGGAATTCTTTGTAGCAAAATATCGGAAACCGAAGTCTAGTCCGATGATTACAACAACCCACAATAAATGATGTGAAATCTATTAGAATGAAGGCTGTAGCCTGGTCACTATAGAGGTGTGTATGTGGCTGTAGATCCGTCGTTCTCTCACTTACTTATTTGAGCGCATGGTGATCGTTGTTGTGGCTGAAGTTGGTTGCGCATTCACGTTCGTTTCCACTGATTTCTTGGGACCAGTTTACTAGAGATGTTCAGTTTGTGCCTCTTACTGAAAACCAACTTAAGTAACTTTTCACCGGGAAGAAAATACCTTGCGGCGTTAAACGGTCAACGCATGTAGTATGAACTGAGTGCTTTTATTGCCCTCGGCAAGCAGATTCTTCTGACTACATGTCCGTGAAGAAGAAGAAGAAGAAGAAGAAGAAGAGAAAGAGAGAGAGAGAGAGAGAGATAGAGAGAGAGGAATTGCCATTGTACATATCGTTAACTAAAAAGTGTTCAAAATGAAGCTTCCTATAATATGCAGTTGAGCATGTAGCTGTAGTTCTCTCACCATATTCTTTGTGCGTTCGTTTCCACTGCTTTCTTGGGACCAATATTCTAAAGTCATCTCTAACATTTTTTCTGAAAATCAAATTACATATCTTTTCACTGGGAGAAAGATTTCGTCTCGTCTTGTTAAACAACACAACGCATATACTATAAATTGGTTGCTTTTATTATTCTTAGTAGGGAAATTCTACTAACTACTTGTCAGTTAAGAGAGAGAGAGAGAGAGAGAGAGAGAGAGAGAGGAGGTGACTGAGAAACTTCCAATTTTTTGCTTGCTCATTTTTGGCAGTTTCAGGCACGCGCTTTCGCTAATAGACAAAAATTTTCAATGAAATGTTTTGAGAGAAAAAAAAACTTTTATAAGGAAAACTTCCATATTAATTTCATTAATTTACGGTCGAATTAAAAAGCACCAAAACCTGCTACATTTATTTTGAAAAATGAAACTTTTTCTTCAATTTCTTATTTTTCCTTTTTTTGCGATGACTAATTCTATCCAACATCGGGACATAAAGTCTCATCGGAATAGGATTCTTAAGTGGAACCGCCTGACTAACCTATCAAATCGCCCAGGAATTTTTCACTTTAACTCGGGTTAATTGTTTTCAACTCTGTACGATTTATTTCGATTTTTTTCTAGCGACGGTTTTTGCACGCTGGCGAATCTTCTGAAGTCCAGGCTATCAGATATTTCTAGATTGAATTCCAGAAATTCGATATATTTCCAACAACCCGTGTGGTTTCGTTAAAGACACTGGAACAAAAACTACGATATGGTCAGAATTGTATCAGAAAGAACAATACAAAGGCAAAAAGATGCAGAACTACGTTTTATAGATTATGCAAAAGCGGTTTATAGAATACGTAACAAAGAACTATTTGAACTGCTAGGTGAACTTGATTTATTTGGGAGGAATATTAGAATAGTATTTGGGAAGGAACAAGGATAGCGTGGTTTCGAGAACAAAGAATACAATATTTATATTCAGAATGAAATTAAAAAGAGCAATACAAATGCGAAGGGATATATACCAATGTTTCATAGATTAATTCGTTTTCTACGGCTTATCAACCGAGGTTATTTAAAGCCAGAGAATATTTTTCGAGACTGTAAGAGTTTTGGGTTGGGGTAGGGGAAATAATAATGATTTAGTGATGTAGTGATACAAGTCTTATTAATTAACCCATAGCCGGGGGGGGAGAAGAAGTGGATTCATACTTTTCAAAAGGGGATTTGCGTATAAGTGAATATAACGAACCCAACTGGAATTCGAACTCGGCTATCCGATTAACAATTCCGAACTGTTATCCTTTGCACCATCAGCACATTCAAGCACATATTATTCTCAATCGGTCATCTATCTAGATACTGACCAGGCTCGACGTTGCTTAACTTCGGTGATCATATGGGAACCAGTGTTTCAACGTGATATGGGCGTAAGACACGATTTATATATTATGCAAAAGCGTTTCATAAGGTACGTCACAAATAATTGTTAGAACTGCAAGGTACGCTTGGTTTACATGGGAAGGATATTAGAATGGTATAGAACTTACACTGGAATTAAACCACCTTCATGTCGATAGAACATGAATTCAATAAATAAATAAAAATAAATAAAAACGGGTGTGAGACAAAGAGGTATCTTCTCACGAAATTAATTCAAACTTCACAATGAGGTGACACTGAAAGAAAATTAGAAGCCCTAACAGGAGGGAGTTGTTGGAATTTTTGGGTAGGTTTGTACTAGTGAGCCAAACAAAATGAGCTGACTCATTTTATAGTCCTCCAAGAGAAGGGTTAACCAATCAGAAAGCTCAAAATATTCAATCCGACGTGTATAAAGGCGGCCATTTTGTTTTTTCTCCAAAAATATCTTCACTACCAACCTCTGATATCGAAGACCTGAAGAATTACTGAACAGCTGCTACTTTCTCCAAATCTTCACTGCCAACCTCTGATATCGAAGACCTGAAGAATTACTGAACAGCTGCTACTTTCTCCGAATATTCACTGTCAACCTCTAATATCGAAGACCTGAAGAATTACTGAACAGCTGCTACTTTCTCCAAATCTTCACTGCCAACCTCTGATATCGAAGACCTGAAGAATTACTGAACAGCTGCTACTTTCTCCAAATCTTCACTGCCAACCTCTAATATCGAAGACCTGAAGAATTACTGGACAGCTGCTACTTTCTCCAAATCTTCACTGCCAACCTCTAATATCAAAGACCTGAAGAATTACTGAACAGCTGCTACTTTCTCCAAATATTCACTGCCAACCTCTGATATCGAAGACCTGAAGAATTACTGAACAGCTGCTACTTTCTCCAAATCTTTACTGCCAACCTCTAATATCGAAGACCTGAAGAATTACTGAACAGCTGCTACTTTCTCCGAATATTCACTGTCAACCTCTAATATCGAAGACGTGAAGAATTACAGAACAGCTTCTACTTTCTCCAAATCTTCACTGCCAACCTCTAATATCGAAGACCTGAAGAATTACTGAACAGCTGCTACTTTCTCCGAATATTCACTGCCAACCTCTAATATCGAAGACCTGAAGAATTACTTAACAGCTGCTACTTTCTCCAAATCTTCACTGCCAACCTCTGATATCGAAGACCTGAATAATTACGAAGAAAGAATTACATCTTTCTCCAAATCTTCACTGCCAACCTATCTCCGACATTCTCCAACCTCTAATATCGAAGACGTGAAGAATTACTGAACAGCTTCTACCTCCAAATCACTGCCAACCTCTATCGAAGACCTGAAGAATTACTGAACAGCTGCTACTTTCTCCGAATCTTCACTGCCAAACTCTAATATCGAAGACCTGAAGAATTACTTAACAGCTGCTACTTTCTCCGAATATTCACTGCCAACCTCTAATATCGAAGACCTGAATAATTACGTAACAGCTGCTACTTTCTCGAAGACCTGAAGAATTCTGCTTACATTCTCCGAATATTCACTGTCAACCTCTAATATCGAAGACATGAAGAATTACTGAACAGCTTCTACTTTCTCCAAATCTTCACTGCCAACCTCTAATATCGAAGACCTGAAGAATTACTGAACAGCTGCTACTTTCTCCGAATATTCACTGCCAACCTCTAATATCGAAGACCTGAAGAATTACTTAACAGCTGCTACTTTCTTTAAATCTTCACTGCCAACCTCTGATATCGAAGACCTGAATAATTACGTAACATCTGCTACATTCTCCGACTCTTCACTGTCAACCTCTAATATCGAAGACCTGAAGAATTACTGAACAGCTTCTACTTTCTCCAAATCTTCACTGCCAACCTCTAATATCGAAGACCTGAAGAATTACTTAACAGCTGCTACTTTCTCCAAATCTTCACTGCCAACCTCTGATATCGAAGACCTGAAAAATTACGTAACAGCTGCTACATTCTCCGACTCTTCACTGCCAACCTCTAATATCGAAGACCTGAAGAATTACTGAACAGCTGCTACTTTCTCCGAATATTCACTGCCAACCTCTGATATCGAAGACCTGAAGAATTACTGAACAGCTGCTACTTTCTCCGAATCTTCACTGCCAACCTCTGATATCGAAGACCTGAAGAATTACTGAACAGCTGCTACTTTCTCCAAATCTTCACTGCCAACCTCTGATATCGAAGACCTGAAGAATTACTGAACAGCTGCTACTTTCTCCAAATCTTCACTGCCAACCTCTAATATCGAAGACCTGAAGAATTACTGAACAGCTGCTACTTTCTCACAAATATCGAAGACCTCAACAGCTGCCAACCTCTGATATCGAAGACCTGAAGAATTACTGAACAGCTGCTACTTTCTCCAAATCTTCACTGCCAACCTCTGATATCGAAGACCTGAAGAATTACTGAACAGCTGCTACTTTCTCCAAATCTTCACTGCCAACCTCTGATATCGAAGACCTGAAGAATTACTGAACAGCAGCTTTTTCTCCAAATCATCAGTCAACCTCTAATATCGAAGACCTGAAGAATTACTGAACAGCTGCTACTTTCTCCAAATCATCACTGTCAACCTATAATATCGAAGACCTGAAGAATTACTGAACAGCTGCTACTTTCTCCGAATATTCTCTGCCAACCTCTGATATCTAAGACCTGAAGAATTACTGAAGAGCTGCTACTTTCTCCGAATATTCACAGCCAACCTCTGATATCGAAGACCTGAAGAATTACTGAACAGCTGCTACTTTCTCCAAATCTTCACTGCCAACCTCTGATATCGAAGAGCTGAAGAATTACTGAACAGCTGCTACTTTCTCCAAATCTTCACTGCCAACCTCTGATATCGAAGACCTGAAGAATTACTGAACAGCTGCTACTTTCTCCGAATCTTCACTGCCAACCTCTGATATCGAAGACCTGAAGAATTACTGAACAGCTGCTACTTTCTCCAAATCTTCACAGCCAACCTCTGATATCGAAGACCTGAAGAATTAACTGAACCTCTGAGCTGAAGAATACTTTCTCCAAATCTTCACTGCCAACCTCTGATATCGAAGACCTGAAGAATTACTGAACAGCTGCTACTTTCTCCAATCTTCACTGCCAACCTGATATCGAAGACCTGAAGAATTACTGAACAGCTGCTACTTTCTCCAAATATTCACTGCCAACCTCTGATATCGAAGACCTGAAGAATTACTGAACAGCTGCTACTTTCTCCAAATCTTCACTGCCAACCTCTGATATCGAAGACCTGAAGAATTACTGAACAGCTGCTACTTTCTCCAATCTTCACTGCCAACCTCTGATATCGAAGACCTGAAGAATTACTGAACAGCTGCCTACTTTCTCCAAATCTTCACTGCCAACCTCTAATATCGAAGACCTGAAGAATTACTGAACAGCAGCTTTTCTCCAAATTCAACCTCTGATATCGAAGACCTGAAAGAATTACTGAACAGCTGCTACTTTCTCCAAATATTCACTGTCAACCTCTAATATCGAAGACCTGAAGAATTACTGAACAGCTGCTACTTTCTCCGAATCTTCACTGCCAACCTCTGATATCGAAGACCTGAAGAATTACTGAACAGCTGCTACTTTCTCCGAATCTTCACTGCCAACCTCTGATATCGAAGACCTGAAGAATTACTGAACAGCTGCTACTTTCTCCGAATATTCACTGCCAACCTCTGATATCGAAGACCTGAAGAATTACTGAACAGCTGCTACTTTCTCCAAATCTTCACTGCCAACCTCTGATATCGAAGACCTGAAGAATTACTGAACAGCTGCTACTTTCTCCAAATCATCACTGCCAACCTCTAATATCGAAGACCTGAAGAATTACTGAACAGCTGCTACTTTCTCCGAATATTCACTGCCAACCTCTGATATCGAAGACCTGAAGAATTACTGAACAGCTGCTACTTTCTCCGAATATTCACTGCCAACCTCTGATATCGAAGACCTGAAGAATTACTGAACAGCTGCTACTTTCTCCGAATATTCACAGCCAACCTCTGATATCGAAGACCTGAAGAATTACCTCTGAACAGCCTGAAGCTACTTTCTCCGAATATTCACTGCCAACCTCTGATATCGAAGACCAAAAGAATTACTGAACAGCTGCTACTTTCTCCGAATCTTCACTGCCAACCTCTGATATCGAAGACCTGAAGAATTACTGAACAGCTGCTACTTTCTCCGAAATATTCACTGCCAACCTCTGATATCGAAGACCTGAAGAATTACTGAACAGCTGCTACTTTCTCCGAATCTTCACTTCTGATATCGAAGACCAAAAGAATTACTGAACAGCTGCTACTTTCTCCAAATATTCCTCCAACCTCTGATATCGAAGACCTGAAAAGAATTACTGAACAGCTGCTACTTTCTCTGAATATTCACTGCCAACCTCTGATATCGAAGACCTGAAAGAATTACTGAACAGCTGCTACTTTCTCACTGCCAACCTCTGATATCGAAGACCAAAAGAATTACTGAACAATATTCACTGCCAACCTCTGATATCGAAGACCAAAAGAATTACTGAACAGCTGCTACTTTCTCTGAATATTCACTGCCAACCTCTGATATCGAAGACCTGAAGAATTACTGAACAGCTGCTACTTTCTCTGAATATTCACAGCCAACCTCTGATATCGAAGACCAAAAGAATTACTGAACAGCTGCTACTTTCTCCGAATATTCACTGCCAACCTCTGATATCGAAGACCAAAAGAATTACTGAACAGCTGCTACTTTATCTGAATATTCACTGCCAACCTCTGATATCGAAGACCTGAAGAATTACTGAACAGCTGCTACTTTCTCCGAATATTCACAGCCAACCTCTGATATCGAAGACCAAAAGAATTACTGAACAGCTGCTACTTTCTCTGAATATTCACTGCCAACCTCTGATATCGAAGACCTGAAGAATTACTGAACA